CGAGCAGAAAAATAGAAGCGAGAAATTGCTGCAGCACTAACTTTAGCTACATTAATAGCCATTTTACGATGGTAGGACCAAGTAGCATTGGATTGGAAATAAATGCCCAGATATTTGAAGTGCTTAACCTGTTCAAGTTTGTTGCCATTAATAATCCACTTATGAGATTTTCGGGGATAGGGAACGACTAATACCTTTGATTTTTCATAATTCAACTCCAATCTGTTAATCACGCAATATTCATGGCAACGGTTCAGTAAACGGTTTAATCCAACACGAGAAGTAGACAAAAGAACCGTGTCATCTGCATATAATAACAAGGGAATAAGAGAGGAACCAAGTCTAGGGCTATGACCGTCTACTGATGACAAAAAAGGGGCAAGGTCATTTAGAAAATGGTTAAACAGATGGGGGGCTAAAATGCACCCCTGCTTTACCCCTTTCCTAATACTGATCTTAGGGGAAAGTCTCCCAGTCGAGGAACACCTGACCTGACAGAATGTGGAGGTGTGAAGTCTATCCTAAAGACATACAACTAAAGTAAACACATTCTTCCATGGTTTATTCTGATCTTCCTCTCCCTACCTTCCTTTTGTTCTTATCCATGTATTGAATTTTAACTTGTTGGTCTTTACAGAGTACAGGGAATTTTAACTTGTTGGTCTTTACAGAGTACAGGGAAGGTCCCTAGCAATGGGCTGAGTGTGTTACCTAAGGAACAAATATAGTAAGGTTCAGCAGTTGACTTTATGAACCTTGCAGACAATGGTTTATTAACTATTTTATAGGCTAAGAGTTTCAAGATGACATTCATGTGAGCTATTCTTTTTTTACTATTCTGTTTCACTTGTGAAACACATAAAAAGGGGGAATGCATTTGTGAAATGAATTCACTAAGCTCACCACGGGTTTGTGGCTTATTCTATCTCTACATTGTTGCAAATAACCTTTGGTGGAGATAAGCAATTCAGTTTGGAGCTTCCTTTCAAGTACAGTAGCACACAATTTACAACAGTCTCCATAAGATGATATGTTGAAACTGGCCACCACTCTGTGGTTTGTTCTAGAAGAGTGGGCAGGATGTGGAGATTCAGGTTTGTTCAGAATCTTAGCCCTGTACTGAGCAGTGAATCCAGAAGAAAGGCAGCTGTCATTTTACTTGCAGGGGCTTGCCAGAAGGTGTGGACTATCCACCTTATACGTTATGGGATCTTCTACTTTTTTGCCAGGCTGTCCTTTAGCCTTTATGCCTTATGAAAATGATAGATTTATTCATGACACTCTTGTGTTTCCTACGTCATGCTGCCATCAAGGATTATGCAGAAACACTGATGTTACCCAACAAACTCTAGCACATCCTTCTGGCATGGCTGCTCTTGGTCCATTACTCCACTCATCATTGAGTGTGTCTGCTTAATCTGCTGCTGGCTTCCCCTGCTATACTGTCCCATTATCTGATGCTTGAGGATACATTTGGTAGCACTATAACTGACAAGTGAATTATCTAAAAATGGCAACAACAACAAAAATATCCTCATGAGCAGGGGTCATTTGGAGCTGGAGCGCCGCCCTCACAGCCCCGCTTCTGCGCTCCTTTTTTCTAGAGTCGCGTCTTTCCATTATATTCTATGGCCCCATAGTATATAATGGAAACATCGCGCTGCTGCTGCTGCATGACTTCAGAGTTTCGTCTGTGGAGAGGGCAGGGGGCCCCTCTAGGAGCCTTCAAAAGCCTCCCCTTCCCTTCCCCAGCCGGCCTGCCAAGGCGGGCTGGGGGGGGAGCGAAGAGAGAAGGGGTTTAAAGTTTAAACCCCTTCTCTCTGGAGTCGCGCCACCACATGGCCCCATAGAATATAATGGAAAGATGACTCTAGAGAGAAGGGGTTTAAACTTTAAACTCCTTCTCTCTTTGCTTCCCCCCCCAGCCCACCTTGACAGGCCAGCTGGGGAAGGGAAGGGGAGGCTTTCGAAGATGCCTCCCCCCCACTTTTGCTTCCCCTTCTGGCATCACTTCCGGTGATTTCAGGGTGTGTGGCATATGCTAATGAGCTATTATGTTAATAGCCTATTAGATATGCTAATGATCTCCTACAGCTCTTTTTCTACTAAATGACCCCTGCTCATGAGTACAAAAGTATCTCCTCACAAAAGTGATCCACAGGTTGTCATAACTAGTTACTATTCCAGGCTGTCTTAACCACAAGAAGTTGGCATAGTTTAAAGTATATTCCCATGCTCATCAATCTTATTAATGAGGCATGAAGTGCTTTGGGATACCTGCTTTTTGGTAGCACTAACTTAATCTGTACGCTCATAATTTTGACTCATTTATCTTAATTAAATGCTTTAGTGGCAAAGTGTAGAATTTAAAGATAGTCTTCAAGCAGCTAGATTTTAGCAGACTCGATATCCACTCTACAGATGCATATTTAAAATAATCCTATAATACATTAATTACCTTTCACAAAATAACTACTATCTCAGTGTATAAAAATGATTCAAATTATGTGATAAGAGTTTTACAGAGTGGTTTATAGCTGTTCTAAATGGGATGCCCTTGGGTCTTTCCTACAGATATTTGAGAGATGAATTTTGGAAAACAGCTATCAAGTTTTGTTGTTCTTTATCAAATGAGTGATAAGGTGTTGAAAACCAAGTAGCTGTCAAAATAAATGTGTTCTGCTTTCTTTTCATTTGTTGCCTTGGGGAGATGGTTTTGAATATGTACAGAGAGTCTTGTTTTGAGTCTACAAATAAATTAGTAAAGCGTCACTAGATAAATCCTTGGATTTCATATTATAATTAGTACAAGAAAAAAACAAAGATGACATCACTGCCTGGGCAGTGCAGAACCTCTTGATGCTGGCATCGTTGAATCTAGTTTGTATGTGGCAAAAGTGGCTATAATTGTTTGCTGAAATGCAGCACCCTACACAGCACTCATTTTATTTCTAGTGTTGTCAGGGTATTTTAGAAACAGCCAGCACTATGTGGAAGTCAGTTCATGCCAGCAACTTCTCACATGATTACACTGTAATCATCAGCCACACCATTGTTTGCCAGTTGTGAACTGGGCCTGTCACATAATAGGCTGGAAATCAGTTGGCCTAAGATAAATTTTAATGGAGTTTAATTCAAAGAATTATTAGAGGACCGGGCTAGGGACTTTTCCGCATTCTCATTTTCCTTGCTTGTGGGGAAATGATGTATGGGTGCATGTTGGGGGTGTGTGTCAACGCCTTCAAATCCCAGGCTGGGCCTCTTATGGTTGCTGTTAAACTTGGGGGTGGGGGGGAGAGGTCTATTCACAGACCTTCTGATGTCACATTTTGTTCGGCCCTGAGCAGGGACTTGAACCTGGTTCCTCCAGACCAGCATTCTGTTCACTGGACTTTCATGCAGCACACATGAGACCTGAACATTTCCTGTGCTGTTCTTCACTATTTCATACAAAGGGCCATTAAAAGTTTCACAGAGTCTATACAGCTCAAGGCTGCAATTCATCTTTATTAAAATAAGTAGAAATAGTGCCATTTATTTCTATAGGTTGCACCCAAATATAGTATTGTTGTGCATAATACTCAACAGGACAGTCTTGAGGGTTACATTTACGGGGCAATTTATCATCCTGTATTTTTTAGTATTTCTTGTTCTTTGGGATCAACAAGGCAACATTTATGTTAAGTAGGGAGAGGGGAGATACTGGCACTGATTATTTTGCTCTTTCATATGTTGTATTTGAAATTCTCTATGTTGTTCCATTGAAGGGGAAATGAAACTAATTGATTTTAAATTATTATTTTTTCATTTTGCCTCTGAGTCTAGTGTCTTCAGGTTTAAGAAAAATCAGGAGCCATTTGGTTGTCATACAGTTTCTTTTGGCTTGTATAATTACATTCTATGTGTGTAACATCACAATTTCTTCCACATTTAATAGGCTGAGATTCATCTTAATCCTTTCAAATTGTGGAGTAACAGTTGACCTGTAAATTTATGAGCACAGATACAGTGATTAGTTTCTTTCTGAAGTATTCTTTGTTTCCCCTCTATTTCTGCAGGATCCATGGGATGCTCAACATATTCCTGCATTGTTTTCTGCTTTCTGTGGTCTTTTAGTTGGACTTTCTTATCATCTTAGTAGGCAAAGCAGTGACCCATCTGTTTTAGTGTAAGTAACCAGATTTTCCCTCCATTTCTTTAGCAGCAAGACTTGTATTGATGCTTTTGTAAAATAATATGAATGAGATGTTTTGGCCTTTGCTGTTGTAAGTCAGGTAGTAAGTCAGGTTCAAGCTAGTACTCAAGGTAGCTCCATACTTCACAGTCCACACTTCAGCTAGTATGCACTTCATATGGGAAACATCACATCTTTGCTGTATGTGGGACAGACTGGAAACTAGGGGCATGCATATAGCTGGTATAGCTGAGCCCAAGTAAAGCCAGGGTTTTTTTTTTGGGGGGGGGGGTTGCTTTTATTGGGGTATATTCAGCTGTACCAAATGGCTGGTGGGCTCCTCTTACAGCTCAGTTTAAACCAAGCTGTAAGACGAGTGAGCCCTTGGCTGGTCCTGCATTTGGCAGGGGGTTGGACTAGATGGTGTGTATGGCCCCTTCCAACTCTATGATTCTAGGCCAAGATCAGCCCGGGCCTCAGCTGGGGCTGGCTCCTCTTGCAGCTTGGCCTCAGCCAAGGGGGTGCCGAGCTCTCAGCTCCCACTGTCCCAGCTGATCCTCTCTTGCCTCCCTGCTGCACACAGATCTCGGGGCCAGCTTCTCCTGCACCCCTGCTTCTGTTATTGGGGAGGTTAAGCCCCCCGGTTTTTTAAAAAAAGATTTCAGATATTTCTACAATCCTGGAGCTTTTCTTGTGTTTGTAAAAAGTTCTGTCTTATCTGTTTGTGGCTCCAGTCTCTGGATTTTTCACAGATGGGGCCACATTGAGAATGAAACCTTGCTATTTGGATAATAGCAGGGGATACTTATGCCCTCAGTGACCTTTCCAAGGGCATCTAGCTGGCCATTGCCAAGGAAAGAATAGTTCACAGAAGTTTGTAATAAACTTTGGGGGCTCTTTAGAGGCTTGGAAAGGGTTTCTTGACAAGAACATGTATAATGACAAACACACTGTGCCGTTTATCTGCTGTTATTGATGTTCAAGTTGCTTTCAGTTCAGCTTGTTCTTTAATGTTTTCAAGTATATGTTTTCTTTATTTACAATTATTACACTGATCTAGATTCTCCTCCCCCCATTCTTTATTCATGTCCATTTGGTTCAATAGAAAATAGGTTTCTCCCTGTGATATTTCTGTTTTAAACTCATCTGGGGTAAAATCCTCACAGTCTCTCACCAAAGGAATCATCCAGACCAAGTTCCAGGCAGAATGAAAAAAGGGTCCCAGTTTTATAACTTTTTATAGCCCATTCCTAAACATTGGCCCTTTTCAGCAGCCTATCTATTCTGTTTCAGGAACTGCTACGAACACCCCTTTTAGTAGCCACCACAGAGGTACCTTGACTCTCAGGCTCCTTTGCAGTCCTCCCTCCCCAAGCCCTGCTCCTGGCAATGTAAACTGATCTCTCTCTCCTGCTGCACTCACATTTCCAAATGACAACAAAACCAAAATCCCTTTGCAAGCCAGCTGAAGCAAAGGGCTCCCTGCCTGAGTTCTGAGGATTGGCAAGCCAGCTCTCTGCAGCTTCTAGGAAGCAGTGTAAAGCAGTCTGCCCTCCCTCCTCCTGATCACAGCTGAGCTATGCAAAGAATTTATTTATTCTGCCAGAAAGTGTGAGTACAGGAGGAGAGAGATATCTGTTTACATAGTCAGGAGCAGGGCTTGGGGAGGGAGGATTGTAAATGAGCCTGCGAGTCAAGGCATCTCTATGGTGCCGCTATTACACTGACTTGCTATATTTGTTTAGCATTTCAGCGCTCACACTAGAACCTTTTTTTAAAAAAAGTCAGAGAAAGATTGTGCGAGAGTGGGGTGAAAAGGAGAGGGGAAAGAAAGTAGCACTGTTTGAAATGGCCAGATTGCTTCAGGGATAGCTCCTTAATGGAAGCCCCGTCTCTGTATCACTTTACTCGGGACCAGACCACTGATGGATACCATCGGAATAGAATGGTAATGTGAAAAGGGCCAGTTACACCCTTCTGAGCCCATCGACTTACATGTACAGCATATATAAGAAGGTTGACTTGCTGTGAGTTTTCCTTGTTTTCCCCCAAGATCCTTATACACAAGAAGGGGAATGATATCTGTTTTTTAAAAAAATAAAAATAAAATGTGTGGGTGAGGGCAGGCTAAATCTTGCTTGTTCCCACTACTTGCCACAATGTGCTCTGGTGCTTGAAGCAGTTTTCTCCCAACACAACTCTCTTTTCATAATGAAGTCTGGTTGGAGAGAAAATGTTTCTAGCACCACAGAAATGTGCAGGATCAGGGGTCATTTCCTGCAGGAGCGCACAGGAGCGGAGCTCCGGCAGTAAGGAGCCCAGGGGGCGGGCACATGCAACAAGCCCCACCCCCTGCTCCCAGCAGCCCTCAGTCAGAGCAAGAAGCAGCCGGGTAAGCTGCAGAGCCCCCCCCCCGGTCCAAAACAGTCCAGTGGCACCTTTAAGACCAAGTTTTATTCAGGTACAAGCTCTCCCTCCTCTGAGAGGACAGATCTGCACGTTCCCCCCCCCCAATAGCTAGCAATCCAAAACAGTCCAGTGGAGCCTGAGTAGTGGGTGTTGCCTTCTGACACACGTCCGGTGATGTCAGGGGTGTGGCATATGCAAATACGTTATGCTAATGAGTTATGCAAATGAGCTCCTGCACCTCTTTTTCTACGAAATGACCCCTGTGCAGGATTTAACTCCACTTAGATGCCCTCCAGCATTAAGCAAAGCATTTTGGTAGATGCTCTGCTTATCACTCTCTCTGTGTGTGTGCATGCTCGCGCACATGTGTGCACTCATGTACAAGTGCAACCTGGGTCTGCCCCTAGTCTGGTTCTACCAATAGCTACAAGCAAAGTATTTGCTGTGAGCTCATCAGATACAGTCCCAGTTGATTCTCATGCAAACAGGACCCATGCTCACGGAAAACCCTCTCAAAGCCACTGAGACAGTGCATTGATTTGTGGTGAGGAGGAGGAGGAGATGGGATTTATACCCCACCCTTCGCTCAGAATGGCTTACAATCCCTTTCCCGTACCCTCCCCACAACAGACACCCTGTGAGGTAGGTGGGACTGAGAGAGCTCTCTCGAGAACTGCCCTTTCCAGAACAGCTCTGAGAGAACTTGTGACTAACCCAAGGTCACACCGGCAGCTGCATGTGGAGGAGTGGGGAATCAAACCCGGTTTTCCCATATTAGAGTTCACACTCCTAACCACTACACCAAACTGGCTCCTAACCACTGCACCAAACTGAGGGAAGATGATGTGTGCAGAAATGCTAATGGGGACGATCCTGTTTGGTGAGAACATCTATGAACTGTTCTGGTTGAAGATGTCCCTGTCAGGCATGTATCTAGTGTTCTCTCACTGACCCTTCCACTGTCTGGGGAATTGAAACCAGGCATCAAGTTTCCAGAAACAGTTTCATTGTATAAAATGTCAGAAATTATTTCATTTGGTTTAATTATATTAAAGAATACATGTGATTTGGATCAGTCTTGTTGGCTTATTATCTAGTGCAAACATTCCTGGCTGCTACACAAAAGTGTTTCTTGACAAGTAAAATCAGTAGGACTGGGTACCCTGAGAATACATACTTATGGCTTGGAAGTAATTGATCTATGTTGCCTTTTGGCCAGAACCAGAATGTCAGTTCTTAAATGTATGTAAGAAAGGTTGTACAGGAGAATTTCTCAGTAGGGAATATAGAAGTTTTCTTCCATGTAAATGTACTTAGAACTGCAATCTGGCTATCCATTCCTCAAAAATCCATTACCACCTTCGGCTGGCTCGGCAGTTGGTTCCCTTCCTTGACCTCGATGACCTGGCTACAGCGATCCATGCGATGGTCACCTCGAGGTTAGACTACTGTAACGCTCTCTACATGGGGCTGCCTTTGTCACAAATCCGGAAGCTGCAGCTAGTGCAGAATGCTGCAGCCAGGCTATTGATGGGTCTCTCTAGACGGGACCATATCAAACCTGCGCTGAAAGCGCTGCACTGACTGCCAATAGCGTACCGGGTTCGCTTCAGAGTGCTGGTTCTAACTTTAAAGCCCTCCATGGTCAGGGACCGGCATACCTGAGGGACCGCCTTTCCCCATATGTTCCCCCAAGGGCACTATGGTCGGGGACTCAGCACCTCCTGGTAATTCCAGGCCCCAAAGATGTTAAACTGGCTGCAACCAGGGCCAGGGCCTTTTCGGTGGCGGCTCCTATCTGGTGGAATGAGCTCCCGGAAGAGACTCTGGCCCTGTGGGACCTTGCGCAGTCCCACAGGGCCTGCAAGACGGAGCTATTCCGCCGGTTTTTGAGTAGGAGCCACCACCACCATTATACCTTCACTGTTCCACTATTATACCATCACCGCACCACTATTATCTACTGGAGCAGGCATGGGGGGGGGGGGGGGGATGAGATGGCCCTGAGATGAAGAGCTGATGGCAGTGCTGTGTGGAACTCTTGTTGTTCTGGGTCTATCCTTCCAGAACGCCATCTTGTGATTAATGGATTTGTGACAACCAGAGCACTCGCACTTTATTGTGTTAAGATGTTTTTTTCTGTTTTTAACTGTTTTAACCTAGGCATATGTGCCTCTTCTCTTAGCTGCCCTGAGCCCGCTCTGGGGAGGGTGGGGTATAAATTTAATAATAAATAAATAAATAAAAGCGCTGAAATATAGGAGTGCATTTATAAACACATATATACAAACTAATGTAGAGATGTGCTGGGACTTTCTGATCTTTATAGGTCACAGGAGTTTTCAGAGTAGAAGACACAGAAATGAAATGCCATTATTTAAAATGTCAAAAAGTGGATACATGCTTTCCTCTTTAAAAACAAACAAATCTCTTTTTATTAATTCCTTGTTTATAGAAAGGATCCCTTGCCTTTTGCTTCAAATGAATCATTTCCGTGTCCTTGAAATCATCCCTTAGTTGCTTTTTATAGTTTCTAATCTCTCCTAATACCTTTAATCACATCTCTGCAGTTCAAATTGCTGTTAAATATCTTCCTTGGGATTAAAACACTTATTTTTGTGTTTAAAATGCATCAAATATTCATGGAATAACCATGATTAAAGTACATAATCCTTTCCCCAAAAAACATTCCTTTGAACTAAATTAAGGAGTAGTGAAAGGAAGACAAAAAAGAAGCTACATTTGAGATTAATACATTTTCTGCTAATGTAGCCGTTTCTAACCTTTAAAACATAGCTGCTTGAAAGAAGACAGGCTCTTAATCTGAGTGTAATTTCAACACCTGAGTTGCTGTAACTTGATTTTCTGTCGTATATGCAACAAACATATGAAAAATAAGATATTGATGGGGTAGTGGGTGCAAAGAGAAGGTCACGCTGGGAATCCAGAGACCTCATGATACAGATTGACTTCATATTTGTGAATATATATTTACTCAGACTCTGTGCTGTGATGGTACATGTTAGGTCTACTGAAGCTTTGGCTTTGCTTTGCCAGGGCTGGTGTCTGCCACCCTTTGAGGACAGATGACATGTGACAGATGGACAGGTGACATGGAAGCACTCACTGGCCACCAGAGCTAAATAGTAACAAAGGAGAACAAGAAGGCTAGACAAAGAAGTCTATCCAGCTCTGGTATCTGGAGAACTGGGTTTGAGTCCCCTCTCCTCTGCCACATGAAGCCTGATGGGTGATCTTGGGCCACTCACAGTTCTTTCCGAGCTCTCTCAGCCCCACCTACCTCACAAGGTGCCTGTTGTGGGGAGAGGAAGGGAAGGTGACTTTAAGCCGCTTTGAGACTCCTCAAGGTCTCTACCTTGGTACCAAGGTATAAAAACCAACTGTTTTTCTTCTGCTTGAGCACCATCATGTGGTAGAAGAAGGTCCCTCCATGCTGGTTGGAGGGCAGAGGCAGAGAAGCTGTTTAATCACAACTGAAATTTGTGACGATTTATTTTTGAAAGTGTGACTGTTATACAGAATATTCAAAGCCAGTTTTTTCCCTAAGTAAATATTTATTTACAATGTAAAAAACAGAGATTTTGCAGTCTTCAGATGCTGTCTTAAAAGATTTTACTCGGTTATCCATATGTATCCGAAAAACTGGGATCTCATACTTAAAATGCTTTCCTCTGAAGAGAATGAGAAATAGGTAACTAACAAGCTGTAACATTAAAAATGCTGTTTTGTTTTTTGTTAACTAGGTCTCTTATTCGGGGTAAATATTTTCCTCACTTTCTACATCAACATTTGGAAGATTCACAAAATGATCCACTTCCTGAGAAGATGAGAGAATCAGTGGTAGGGTTTCCTTTATTTATTTTTATTGTGGAAACATACCAAAGACCAGGGCTGTTTTAAAGACATCACCTGAAATTCTAGAGCCATGCTGTGATATTATTTTAGACATAATGTTCCCTTATGTTCAGTCAAATTATTTAAATCTCTAACAAGGAAACGAATGTGAGACAGAGCTGTGAACTGTTTCAAATGGAATCCTTATTGAATGACAGAAAGAAGGGCTTTATGGATGCAACTGTTTTCCTAGCTCTCTGTCTTCAGTGTGTAGAAGAAAACACTAGGGCCGATTCTGCACAACCACTTGCTCCAGTGTCACCCCCCGATAATATCAGCGGAAATTGATCAGTTCCCCACATGTTAGTCCGGATCAGCAATTGACCCGAATGTAATGGCTTTTCCCCCCGGATTTTCCGTCTCTGCTATTTTCAGGTTCTTTTGTTTTGCTGTGATGTTGAAGTCGGGGCATACCAGTGGGCAACTTGCAATTCGCGGCTGTTCCCTCTCTGCCCCTTTAACGCCCCTTTGCTTCTTTCCCTCCCCTTCACTCCCATTCCCGCCTATCAACACCTCTTCAACGCCCTCCTGCTTCTCTCTCCCCCTCCCCCCCTCCTTCCCGCCTGCCTGCAAACCCCCCCTTTGGTGTGTGCAGGATTTTTTTTTTATTTCCCTCCCCGTGTTGCATTGCAATGCAACAATGGGCCATCGTCGACCAGCATGTAAATATCCTTTTACATGTCCGAATGCTGTTTTCTCATTTCTGTTTGGCAATTCACTATGTGTAGAGGTTTAAGTATTCTTTTTCATGTTCATATACTGTCTTCCTATCTGCCCCCTCTCCCACTTCCCAACTGCATCCCCCCCCCTCCTTGGTGCGTGTGTGCTTTTCCCCCTCCAGCATTGCGTTGCAATGCAATAATCGCCCATCGTTTACTGGACGCAACAATGGGCCATCGTCGACTGGCGTTTAAATATCCTTTTACATGTCCGTATGCTGTTTTCTCATTTCTGTTTGGAATTTGCCATTTGTGTAAAGGTTTAAGCATTCTTTTTCATGTTCATATATTGACTTCCCATCCGCCCCCCCCCCGGCTGCATCAATGGATGCTTTTCACGGGCATCGAGGGTCAGAAATTAAAGGGACCAATCGGTGTTTCAGTGGGCGGTGCGTTACAGCGCAACCCCGCCTCCATTAAAAAAAATCAGAGGGAGAAGAGAGGGGAGGGAGCTCTAGATTCGGGGCAAGGTGACATGCGGAAATGAACACCCAGGCAAAACCCGGGTCAGATTTCCGTAATGCGGAAATGCGCACATAGAATCGGGCCAATTAGACTCGGGGGGAAAGGGGGGCAAAGCATTAGTGCGGAATCGGCCTAGGATTCTCTGATATTGTGGTGGTGCATAATTGCCTGTACATGTAAGTGTGAATAATTGTTACCTCATCCATGTAAAAGATTTCCCCCCCTTAGTTATATCAATCCTGCTGAGAAAAGGGGGAAAGCTATGTAGCTTGCCTTGGTATTTCTGCCGTGCCCATTTTGCCTTTTGACTCCTACAGCCAAGCATGTTCGTATTAACTGGATGTTCTAAACTGGACTGCAGATATTTTGTGCAGTGCTTTGCTTTGTGCTGCCATCTGGGAACTGTAGTTCAATCCTGTAAGCTCTGAGCATGTGTCAGCATGATAAATGCTGAGCACCGCCCAGCAACACAGACACTTAAAGTGCAGCTGATTTCAAATGATGTATGATTATGATGGTGTAATCCAAACAAGCTGGTAAATTGTGAGCCTTCACCAATGGGAGCTACCTGGCCAGTTGCCACTCTCGGTGCTGTTGTTTTTGCAGATGCAAAATCACTTTCATAACCGAAAATACTGCTTGCTTTTTAAATTATGAAGAAATAATTATTGCTGTTCTGTGGGATGCATGGAACACTGAGAGCAAGGTAAGTGTAGTTTCTGAATGATTTATTTGTGAAAATGGCATCATTGCAACTTGCCACACATGCACCCTTTGCCTCCAGTTGTCTGAACATGCCAAGCCACCCTTTTTTTGGCACCAAGTGTAGTTACAGTCTTGTATGATTAAGCTTCTCCTCTTTTCTGATCAATAACAGTGGTAAGCAGTGTTCCCTCTAAGCTGAGTTAGTGTGAGCTAGCTCACAGTTTTTTAGCCTCCAGCTCACACAATTTTGCCTTCGCTCAGGAAGGATGGCTCCAGAGCAAACTAATTAATGCAGTAGCCAAATGGCTCACTCACAACTTTAATGCCAGTAGCTCAGAAAGTAGAATTTTTGCTCACAAGACTCCACAGCTTAGAGGGAGCTTTGGTGGTAAGGTGTTGGTAGTCGAAAGCTGAAATAAAATTTCCATTTCTGGATCTGGTCTTCCTTCCTTTATTAACAAAGTGGCATAATTGCATTGCTTGCCTCCGCTCTCTGAATTAAAGGAGTTGCTTTTCTATTATATTTAAAGGTCTGTTGACATGGCAACTTCCTGCAGTCCCAGTTCAATATATATCAAACTGAAAGTCCTGGGAAATGATCATGGAAAAGTCATGTCTCTCCCCCTCCCCATCCCGCCTCTCCAAATACTGAACCAACATCCAGTTGCTTGCAAACAGAACATCCTGTGAAATGTTGACGATATGATGAATAAAATAGTGTCTTGCAGTATTCAACCATTGGTTTACAAGTTCCAGCTTCCACTAGCTGTGATTTGTGCAGTCAAGTTGCATCAAGAAAAAGTATGGAGTGATAATCTGAATATGTGAAAAAGTAATGTAATATTATAATGTATTTGTGTATTTATCCAGCCTGACTGCAGCATAAACCAAATGAACATAATATACTGTCAAGTGGTTCTTACGGTTAGTCTGCTGATCAGCTCCCATACACAGATACACACGCAGATGCTTTTTATAGTGGCCAATATTTATTATGAATTGGAGCTGTTGAAATCAGTATGTTTTTGAACTGAAGATAATTGATACACTCTGCAAAATTAGGCTAGAGCAGTTTACTATATGAAAGAAACCTCTCTGATTTCATATTCATGTTAGTAATAACTTACATTGCCTGTTCCAGTGACCTGTGCTACATTTTAGCTGCTTCAGTAGCACTGTAACAATTGTTAGCTTTGGTGCCTGGAATTACAAAGCAGCTGTGTTGGATAATTAACCATTCAGCTTGGGGGGGGGGGGACTTCTAGCTTCATAATTAATTTCATAGGCATCCACACGGTCAATTGCTGCATTAACCATCAGCCTTGAAGGTATTCATGTGTTGCAATGAAACCCAACTTCCTGCTTGACCTTTGAGTGCCAACAATCAGAGAACAAAGCTCCAAAAACCCAATTAAATCCATTTTTAAAAAGAAGCCCACAGGATATTTTATGAAACATTATAGATGTTTCATCTGTGGAGCTTGAGAGATCCAAAACAGCTTTGTGAAAGGTGAAAACCAAGCTACGAATTACCCAAAAAACTGCAACCCGATTTATCCTCTCCGCAAACCAAGGTTATCTCAATTCAGTTTTCTGCCCTAAGTGGCAGGACTGTGCTACAGGAAGATGCACCTCTCCCATTCAAACCTCCGCTGAACGGGTTCTTTGAGGCAGTTGGGGGAGGTGCCACTTTCAGCTAGCCCAACTCAGAGCCAGTAGAATGAGTGGGTGGGTAGAACCAGTAATGCACTCCCCAATCAGGCTTGCTTGAAAGTTTCTGCAGCTCATTGGAGCTGGGTGGGCTAGGAGACTGTGGTTGCCACCGTGGGAACACTTTCCTGGAGGTAAGCCCCATGAGTAAAATGCTCCATATGACTGTTGCAAGCAAATCTTTGATGCCCTTGGGCAATGTACCAGCCCTACCCAAGACCTATTGCTAGTGGATTTCTTTCTACATATTTAGACACTACAGCAAGATAGTGTCAAACATGTCTAGTGCCATATGTGCATTCCCCTTAGCAGGGCTCTTTTTGTAGAAAAAGCCCAGCAGGAACCCATTAGCATAATAGGCCACACCCAACAGCAGAAACTCATTAGCAAATTAGGCCACATCCCTGACAGCACAGCTCATTAGCACATTAGGCCGCACCCCCATGTTACCAGAAGTGTGGTTATCCAGCCACACCCACCTTTTGCTTGTTATTATGTTTACCTTGTTTGTTGTCAAAACCCAGGGCTTTTTTGTAGCAGGAACTCCTTTGCATGTTAGGCCACACACCCCTAATGTAGCCAATCCTAATGAGTTCCTGCTGTTGGGTGTGGCCTATTATGCTAATGATTTCCTGCTGGGCGTGGCCAACTTGGGAGCCAGCCGGAACTCCGTTCGTGTGCGTTCCTGCCCAAAAATAGCCCTGCCCCTTAGTATTGGACCTCTGTGGATGAGAATATGTTTCTCACCAACAACTCAAAATGCTATAATAATGCATTATCTTATCTGGACTTTTATGCTCATTGTATTATAGGTTTGCATCAGACTGACTGAATAATGCTATTGTCTTGAGTCAGTCAGCTATTCAGATGAATAATATTAGTTTCACTAAATATTCAGGACACTTATTTGAGAGAAGCAAATCTCACTAATTTCAAATACCAATAAGTCTGTCTCAGGATGCTGTTGATATGCGAACTCAAACCAAAATCTGTAAATGAGTATGTTGATGCCTGTTTTCATACAATAATGGTTCAGTCCATTTCAAAAATTTTGGTAGTCTCCATCAAGATGGATATATGACCTTATATCATTGCCACATTTTGGTGGGAATGTGCTGAACCTAACTCCTCTAACAGCATTCATGTACAGCCCAATCCTGAGCGGGTTGGGGTGGGGAGCGCTCAGAGCTCACTGGCTGCTTCACTGGGGTATCTCAGAGATGCACCCGTGCAGGACCCCAGCACCACTACTGGTGCTGAGCACTGGTGTAACACTGCTGTGACCCCCCCCAGATGGAGCATTGCTGGTAAAAGCCTCTGGCCTGGCAGGGGAGCGCCCAGGGACAT